TAGATAAAAAAATTCACATTATTCCCAATACCAAATATACTCCCATCCACAATATCCAGATACTTTCCCTCTAAATCTTTCCCTCCATATATACAACAATACACTGTGCTATCCCTCCACCACTGTCCCTCCACTCTTGCATCACTCTAAAATGAAAAAAGAACACATTAATAACACACACAAAAAAAACAAAACCCATCCATCACGTATACTTCCCACCACCCTCCAAACAGCAATATAATAACCCCACCAAAACCATAATATAACAAACTCACCCTTACAGATTAATATTTTTTTTCTGAAGTTGTTTCTCATTGATGCTCTGTGACGACTTCAGTTACAATGCAGGACCAACAGTCCTGTATTGTATGCGAGGACGGTGGGGGCCAACCCCCATTCTGAAACGTCGAGGAGAGTTTTGGCTGTCAGAGAACAAGTATTGGGATAAGTATAAAAGCTTATTCCTCTACCCCTAGGCTAAACAAGCATTTAAACCTTGAAGTGTGGGGGAGCCCCAATTGCAAGGGATTTTCTTTTATATCTCAGAGTTCAGCTTTAACCTGTTGATGCCAGCAGTGTGCATATATGCGGCCTCCTGGAATGTGGGCCTTAATGCCAAGCGGTCGCATATATATAGTCCTGGTAAAAACTACTTGCTCCCTTCATGCTCCCAACATGGTAGCCAGTGTTAATCAGTAAACTCCCAACACATACCTGCGATCGGGAACTTTCCGATCATGTGACCGCTGTGACAGGCAATCGAAGACCCGAAGACCTGCTTCCGCCTCCCATCTTTTAGAACCCTTGAAGGCCTGGGAGTCGACCGGTTCTAAGGGGTTAAAGAGGACCTTCATTTCCTGTTTTTTTCCTTTATTTTGCTGCACCACCAAACACCAGGCTCTGTGCTGCCATCTTCTATGATGTCATTGGGACTCATTGTTGAGGGGGAAAGGTTGCAATGAGTAAAAGAGCAATTTTAGAGTGTAGGTCCCTTTAAAACCCAATCCCACTTTCCGTTAAAGTCAGCTAAATACATTGCAGATACATGAAAACAAATGGTGTGCAAAGCCTTCCAGTCAGTTTCCTTTAGAGAGCAAGCACAGACTGACTTGCCAGCGGGGTACAGAAATGTCTTTGCTCTCTCTGTTGAAGCAGTAATCTCTCTGTAGAGGTCCAACATGCCTCCTACTGAGTCAAATCTATAGCTCTACAGTCACAAAAGCTCGTGTTCCCTGTAGACTGGAGAGCTCTAAGTACCATGTAGGTATGGAATGATGTGAAGGAGTTGGTTCGGAAAGAACTCTTGAGGAGAGGTTGGAGTTTGTGTTCCGTATACAAGAGTTGTTGCGCTTTTGTAGGTGGTATGCATTTGGTGAAGCGCTGGGCAGTTGAGAAGTTCAGCGAGGAAGACATGGTCACTCATATGTGAGAGTTGTGGTAAGGATTCCCAGAAACATAACAGACATAATAGGAGTACGATAAACTGGTACAAACAATAAAGAACAGAGAAGCAATGAAAATATAAAAAAAATCTTGTTGAGAATACAAGAAGTATGGGTAGCCTGGATGCCTACTGTCAAGCGGGAGTAGTGTAGGAACCATGACAACAACAGGTTGCCATAATAATGTGACTTTATCATTTTGGAGGTCACGAGATTTAGACCAAGGCCATTCAGCAACATTTTAAAGGTAGATTTCACATGGGGATACAGATCAGGTGTGAGGTCACAGTCAGGTCCAGTCCCCTTCCATGTGGTGAGGTTGGTATGGAGTATATTGGTGGTCATCTACAGGTAGGAGGTCAATGCCTTCCTCCAGATTCCTAATCGTAAAAGAGTTGCCCTGTCTTTTTATGAGGAGTTTGGTTTCTGTTAAGTAATGTCACTTTGGATACAGTAGATCCACATACAGTTTAACACCCGCATGGGATGCGGGGAGCGCTGATGAGTTCCTCGCAGCTGCCATAAGCTTCTCTTTGATATAGTAAAAGTGAACCCGGACCAGTACATCTCTAGGGACCGATGCAGGTAAAAATTATGGTTTTGTGATTCTATGAACTCTGTCAATTGCTGCTTCGATAGCACTAAGTGACAGAATAAAATGTTTTATCAGTTTCTGCAGGTTGGGCAGCAAGGCGTCAGGAGTGACCACCTCTGGGATGTTGTGGAATTTAATATTATTTCTTCTAGAGCGGTCTTCTAGGTCTGCTACTGTATCTTGATCTTTAGCTGTTGGATTTCAATCTCATGATCTGCATGTGCATCAACCAAGTTGTTGTGGGCTTAAAACATGTCGGTCATTTTGTTTTCAATATGGTGCAGGCATTTGGCAAGGATAGTGTTAGAAATCTGAGCTATCACGTTAACAATATCACTATGTAGGGTCTGTCTTAGTGAAAGAAGCATGTTTTTCATGGCTAGTTCAGATACAGGTTGGTCAGAGGCAGGAAATTCTTCTATGGCTGATTGTAGTTGTAATGTGGGGGTATAGGAGATATCTGAGGAATGCAGCGCTGTGCTTGTGGGATCTTCAATTCCAGGCCGTGATTTAGCAGGGCTGAGGGAGGTGGGTGATAGGGGGGATGAGGACTCACCCGGATCACCATCGTAGAGAGATACCAGGTGCCTGGGGTCTGGCATGTATGCGGCCTGTTCCTCTGAAGGAGCAGAGTGTCCGCTCTGTAGGCCAGCACCATGTTGGATTCTGGAGTCCCGGGTCAGATAAAAGTATGTCAGTCTCTGTGGCTGAGCAGGTGATATATGTCGCCAGGGCATCACACTGGAGCCGTTGCTGTGGCTGAAGTGGTGGAGGAACTCAGCTGTGGAGGGAATTACAGGGAACCGGCCACGCATGCGCCCCAAGACCAACTGTTTTTTGGTGTACAGAGAGAGCATCCACTTGCTCCCTTAGCAACCATTGACTGCATGAAACTGTCATTTTTCCCCACAACGAATGCCCTAAACATTCAGCATTTGGATGAACGTCAAATGACCAGTGTTCATTTCCAACTAATGTTCAGACAGAACACTAAGTTTATCCCTGTTTATGCGAAGGGACTTTCAGACATTGTTTAAATATTATCCTGATTACCTCCCTTGCACAGTACAATGTTACTATGGTAACATTGTATTGCTCAGGTCACAGTATTACAAAAAAAAAAGAAAAAAGGATAATAAAAAAGAAAAACATATTTAAAAAAAATGAAAAAATATGTATATATATATATATATATAATATATATATATATATATATATATATTTTTTTTTTTTACATACTTGCACCAGTCAGTGTCCCTGATCACCACCACACTAGTTATATGAGGACTCTGTACAGCACTGGTGACAGCACGTACAAAAAAAAAAAAAACATTGTGAAAAACAATTTTTATTTAATTTCTTCATTTTACAAAAAAAATTTACAAAAAATTACAAAAAAAACTTGCCATGCCTCTTACTAAATACCTTGGACTGTCTATATTCCAAAAAGAGGTTGGGGGGGGGGGGGGGTTGTATTGTCCTGGCATTTTTCTAAGAAATGAGATTGGCCATCAGCACATCAGGGTTGACTGATTTGCAGATACACTGTATATCCCATAGTTTGTGGACTCCATAATGCTCTACAAACTAAATACCATACGCTGAATTGCAGAATACATTTTGCCCTAAATTGTTTTTAAAAATTACTTATTTGCAAAATTTTTATAACAGAAAGGAAGAAAAATGTGTTTTTTAATGTTCTGGCTTTTTTTCAATTTATTTAGCAAATAATAAAAAAAACCCAGTGGTGATTAAATACCAACAAAAGAAATCTGTATTTGTGTGCAAAACATGATACTAATTTACTTTGGGTACGGTGTTGCATGACCAGGCAATTGTCATTCAAAATGTGACAGCATTGAAAGCTGAAAATTGTCCCCATATTGAAGTGGCTAAAGTTTTTCTTTGTTTTCAAAACATACCAGATTCAAAGTTTTGATATTTTTTATTTATTGACTATACTGTGTGTGCACTAATAGGCTGCATGCATATGGGTGCATTTGCCCGTGCGTAAAGACATTGCGTATTTCTGATTTCCAGGAGCTGCGTACAGCTGCCCATAGAGATGAATGGGTGAAGGCTAATATACGCAGTTCATGTGTGTAAAGATATTGCCATAGTGATTTTACTGCAGTTCAAACTTAAAATATTGCTTTGATAATTTTTTAATGCTTTGGTGCCATTTAATTCTACAAATCTTCTGCATCTGTAGAATATATGACTTGGGGATCTTTACTGGATTTCCTAAATCTGTAATTTATCGATGCACGTGAAATGAAAAACTTATTTGTGAGAGTTGAGTCACAGCAGTGAAAAGTTAAAAAATGTACAGAAATCTTACTGAGAACTAGAGTGAATGTTTGTTAAAGTGGTTGTAAGCTCTCACATATAACCAGTGAAGTGACTGGCCTCATGTGATACACAGAGATGAAACAAATCCTCCTACATAAGTTGTACCTGTTTATATAGAGCTACCTGTCCCCTACATCCATTCAAAGTGCAGAATTTACACAGGATCTTCCAGTTCTGAAAGGCAGGGGGTGGAGAGCTGATGTTACATCAGTGGGGGGGGGGAACCCTGAGAACTGATTAGAAGAAAGAGACACACCCCCCTCCACACAGCTCACAGGAACAGAGCTGTGTGGAGGTCCCTCCCCTGTCACCATTTTTCTCTCTTGGGGTCAGGAAAACATGTCAGAATTGACTCGTGCTTATAGCAGAGGAACAAAGTTGCAGAGATAAATGAAACTTAGTGCTTTGGATTGAGACAAGTAGACACTATAGAGCAGTGGTTCTCAACCTTTCTAATGCCGCGACCCCTTAATACAGTTCCTCATGTTGTGGTGACCCCCAACCATAAAATTATTTTCGTTGCTACTTCATAACTGTAATTTTGCAGTGGGAGGACTAGCGCCCCATCACTGATGTCAGTGGGATGAATAGTGTCCCATCGTTGGTATCAGTGGGAGGAATAGTGTCCCATCATTGGTGTCAGTGGGAGGAATAGTGTCCCATCATTGGTGTCAGTGGGAGGAATAGTGCCCCATCATTGGTGTCAGTGGAAGGAATAGTGTCCCATCATTGGTATCAGTGGGAGGAATAGTGTCCCATCATTGGTGTCAGTGGGAGGAATAGTGTCCCATCATTGGTGTCAGTGGGAGGAATAGTGCCCCATCATTGGTGTCAGTGGGAAGAATAGTGTTCCATCATTGGTGTCAGTGGGAGGAATAGTGCCCATCATTGGCGTCAGTGGGAGAAATAGTGCCCATCATTGGCGTCAGTGGGAGGAATAATGTCCCAATCATTGGCGTCAGTGGGAGAATAGTGCCCCAATCATTGGCGTCAGTGGGAGGAATAGTGTCCCATCATTGGCATCAGTGGGAGGAATAGTGTCCCATCATTGGCATCAGTGGGAGGAATAGTGTCCCATCATTGGTGTCAGTGGGAGGAATAGTGCCCCATCATTGGTATCAGTGGGAGAAATGGTGCCCCATCATTGGTATCAGTGGGAGGAATAGTGCCCCATCATTGGTGTCAGTGGGAGGAATAGTGCCCCATCATTGGTGTCAGTGGGAGGAATAGTGCCCCATCATTGGTGTCAGTGGGAGGAATAGTGCCCCATCATTGGTGTCAGTGGGAGGAATAGTGCCCCATCATTGGTGTCAGTGGGAGGAATAGTGCCCCATCATTGGTGTCAGTGGGAGGAATAGTGCCCCATCATTGGTGTCAGTGGGAGGAATAGTGCCCCATCATTGGTGTCAGTGGGAGGAATAGTGCCCCATCATTGGTATCAGTGGGAGGAATAGTGCTCCATCATTGGTGTCAGTGGGAGGAATAGTGCCCCATCATTGGTGTCAGTGGGAGGAATAGTGCCCCGTCATTAGTATCAGTGGGAGGAATAGTGCCCCATCATTGGTGTCAGTGGGAGGAATAGTGCCCCATCATTGGTGTCAGTGGGAGGAATAGTGCTCCATCATTGGTGTCAGTGGGAGGAATAGTGCTCCATCATTGGTGTCAGTGGGAGGAATAGTGCCCCATCATTAGTGTCAGTGGGAGGAATAGTGCCCCATCATTGGTGTCAGTGGGAAGAATAGTGCCCCATCATTGGCGTCAGTGGGAGGAATAGTGCCCCATCATTGGTGTCAGTGGGAGGAATAGTGCCCCATTGTGGGTGTCAGTGGGAGGAATAGTGCCCCATCATTGGTGTCAGTGGGAGGAATAGTGCCCCATCATTGGTGTCAGTGGGAGGAATAGTGCCCCATCATTGGTGTCAGTGGGAGGAATAGTGCCCCATCATTGGTGTCAGTGGGAGGAATAGTGTTCCATCATTGGTGTCAGTGGGAGGAATAGTGCCCAATCATTGGCGTCAGTGGGAGGAATAGTGCCCAATCATTGGCGTCAGTGGGAGGAATAGTGTCCCATCATTGGTGTCAGTGGGAGGAATAGTGCCCCATCATTGGCGTCAGTGGGAGGAATAGTGTCCCATCATTGGTATCAGTGGGAGGAATAGTGTCCCATCATTGGTGTCAGTGGGAGGAATAGTGTCCCATCATTGGTGTCAGTGGGAGGAATAGTGTCCCATCATTGGTATCAGCGGGAGAAATGGTGCCCCATCATTGGTATCAGTGGGAGGAATAGCGCCCCATCATTGGTGTCAGTGGGAGGAATAGCGCCCCATCATTGGTGTCAGTGGGAGGAATAGTGCCCCATCATTGGTGTCAGTGGGAGGAATAGTGCCCCATCATTGGTGTCAGTGGGAGGAATAGTGCCCCATCATTGGTGTCAGTGGGAGGAACAGTGCCCCATCATTGGTGTCAGTGGGAGGAATAGTGCCCCATCATTGGTGTCAGTGGGAGGAATAGTGCTCCATCATTGGTGTCAGTGGGAGGAATAGTGCCCCATCATTAGTGTCAGTGGGAGGAATAGTGCCCCATCATTGGTGTCAGTGGGAAGAATAGTGCCCCATCATTGGCATCAGTGGGAGGAATAGTGCCCCATCATTGGTGTCAGTGGGAGGAATAGTGCTCCATCATTGGTGTCAGTGGGAGGAATAGTGCCCCATCATTAGTGTCAGTGGGAGGAATAGTGCCCCATCATTGGTGTCAGTGGGAAGAATAGTGCCCCATCATTGGCATCAGTGGGAGGAATAGTGCCCCATCATTGGTGTCAGTGGGAGGAATAGTGCCCCATTGTGGGTGTCAGTGGGAGGAATAGTGCCCCATTGTGGGTGTCAGTGGGAGGAATAGTGCCCCATCGTTGGTGTCAGTGGGGGGAGGAATAGTGCCCCATCGTTGGTGTCAGTGGGGGGAGGAATAGTGCCCCATCGTTGGTGTCAGTGGGGGGAGGAATAGTGCCCCATCGTTGGTGTCAGTGGGGGGAGGAATAGTGCCCCATCATTGGTGTCAGTGGGAGGAATAGTGTCCCATCATTGGTATCAGTGGGAGGAATAGTGCCCCATCATTGGTATCAGTGGGAGAAATGGTGCCCCATCATTGGTATCAGTGGGAGGAATAGTGCCCCATCATTGGTGTCAGTGGGAGGAATAGTGCCCCATCATTGGTGTCAGTGGGAGGAATAGTGCCCCATCATTGGTGTCAGTGGGAGGAATAGTGCCCCATCATTGGTGTCAGTGGGAGGAATAGTGCCCCATCATTGGTGTCAGTGGGAGGAATAGTGCCCCATCATTGGTGTCAGTGGGAGGAATAGTGCCCCATCATTGGTGTCAGTGGGAGGAATAGTGCCCCATCATTGGTGTCAGTGGGAGGAATAGTGCCCCATCATTGGTGTCAGTGGGAGGAATAGTGCCCCGTCATTAGTATCAGTGGGAGGAATAGTGCCCCATCATTGGTGTCAGTGGGAGGAATAGTGCCCCATCATTAGTGTCAGTGGGAGGAATAGTGCCCCATCATTGGTGTCAGTGGGAAGAATAGTGCCCCATCATTGGCGTCAGTGGGAGGAATAGTGCCCCATCATTGGTGTCAGTGGGAGGAATAATGCCCCATTGTGGGTGTCAGTGGGAGGAATAGTGCCCCATTGTGGGTGTCAGTGGGAGGAATAGTGCCCCATCGTTGGTGTCAGTGGGGGGAGGAATAGTGCCCCATCGTTGGTGTCAGTGGGGGGAGGAATAGTGCCCCATCGTTGGTGTCAATGGGGGGAGGAATAGTGCCCCATCGTTGGTATTAGTGACACAAATGATGGGGCACTATCCCTCCCACTGACACCAATGATACTTACCTTGCTGACTCCTGCTCCAGCCTGGGCTCGCTCTCTCCCTCTCCCATCTACAGCAGCAAAATTTGCACTTACCTGTCAGCTGTCTTCCTTCTCTGGCCTCTCTCTTCACTCGTTCCTGCAGCTCCCTCGATCTTCTTCGATCTCCGCGCGCTGCCGCTCGGCTCCTCCTCTCCAAGCTCCACCTTCTCGCCGGTGATTGGCCGCCTGTATGAGCTACAGTTCCGGTGGCCAATCAGCGGCGAGGAGGCGGTGACAGGGGCAGCATATCATCCCGCCCACACATCGCCGGAGACAGGAGCGGCGTCTCGGTTCCTAAGACCATCGGAAATATGTGTTTTCCGATGGTCTTAGGCGACCCCTGGGAAATGGTCGTTCGACCCCCAAAGGGGTCGCGACCCCCAGGTTGAGAACCGCTGCTATAGAGGGATATGCTTTATATTTCATCCCTGAAGTTTACAGCCACTTTAACTGTCAAGTCAAAATAACAAGTGAACTTCAATATGAAACAGAAGAAAATCATATGGACACTTTGGGATAAATAAAAAAAGGCCACTAATGCAGCTGCCTTTCCTGGAAATGTTACTGTTAATCCATTGATCTGCCCAACTGCAAACACAGGAGATTCACTGATAGATAAACATATCAAACTGTATTTCCTTCCAGCAGCATAACAGCTGGGGTAAATGAAGAACACATTTCAGATTCCTAGGCACACTATAATCTTTTTGTTTAAAAGCAATGTTTCAGATTTGGACAGACAGCAATGGGTGGAATCACTCCCCTCACATATCATTCCTCCATCAGGGAGTCAAATGGGTCCAACAAGTCCACAATACAGGTGTTACTGCCTTGCAATCTATGCATTCTTTCTAAATTGTGAAGAATCCATCAGGGTTCATGACACCATCATTTGGCTTTGCAGTGACTGTGTCAATTGAATGACTTTGGTAATAAGTGTGGATGTCTAATTAATGGAGACTCCAATCCAGGTTACGATTCAACTTCACAGCAAATATGCAAAAGTGAAATTTCAGCGATGGATGTGTAAGGCCTCCATATTGGATTGCTCTTCAGAATGAGGATATTATATCACCTCCACCCCAGTGTTTGTAACCCCCTAAACCCGGCACCACCCCACACCAATGCCTGTGGTTGCGAGCTGCCCAACTTCAGTTGAATAAGTCATATTTTGCGGTCAGTACTGCCTCCCAAACCTGACAGCAGAAATAATTTTTGCTGCACGTCACATGTGTAACCTTCATTCTCTTCCTTTCCAGCTTAAGTGGGTACATTTGGGGAAGGAGGGGCAGTTAAAAATGTGATTCAACCACATGGTTTTATCAACCAACAGTTCCAATATTGTAACTGGGATAATGTGTGCTAGCAGGGTGGAAGGTTTTGTGCAGTGCACAGTATGCTGCAATGGAGCAACAACTCCAGGATAGATACCGCTGTGACAGATGTGAGTGGGTTGTCCTTCTGGAAACTTGCGTTAGAGATCTGGAGGAGCAAGTTGCAACACTGGGGTGAACCAACAACCTTGAAAGGGGTCATTTGCTCTCTGTGCAGGTAGCTAATGGGATTGATGTGGAGGGCGGAGGGGCTAATCAGGATTATCAGGTAGGAAGATGGGTTGCACCCAAACAGATTTGCCAACTTGGGGGAAAATGTGAGGGTGGCAAGCTCAGGGGTGGCAGCCCTGGATGTCACTGCTATCCCTAACAGCCGGGAGGGCAGACCATCAAGGGGGGGGGGTAAGGAGGGTAGTGCAGGAAGGCCTAGACAGCTGGTGGTAATAGGGGACTCTATAATCAGAAGATGGATAGAATAATTTGTTGCCAGGATCGCCTCAACTAAAGTTTGCTGTCTCCCTGGTGCCAGGGTTTGGCATGTGGTGGACCGGGTAGATAAATTACTGGGAGGGGCTGGACATGACCCAGCTGTCTTGGTTCATGTTGGAACTAATGACAGAATACATGGAAGGTGGAGGCTCCATA